TTGATACTGATAAAATGGATGCCCTACCGGGCATAGCTCAATTATATGTTGCTGTGCAGCATGCCTCAACATTTGATGAAATATGCTAGAAAAAAATGTCAAATGCCTCTGATAGCTGTCCACTGCGATTTGAATATGGTCAAAATCTCAGGCTCCATATTAAAGGAGCTATGCTATATGTCATGTAGAGCGCAGAGGCAGTAGAGAGAGAGAGAGAGAGAGAGAGAGAGAGAGAGAGAGAGAGACAGAGAGAGAGAGAGAGACAGAGAGAGAGGAAGAGCTGAGTGACGAATATGCGAAATTTACTATAATTTAATCCTTACCATCATCCCTATTATTTATTATTTGTTCACGCTGTATTTCATCAGAAATATTCCTTTAGCTAACCTTTCAATTATCTAAATCACACATTTTTCCTCGCTCACTGAGAAGTTGTCACTGACAGCTGAGGAAAGTTTGCATTAGTTTCACTCATGACCTGTCAATAATATTTCTTTTGAGACACTTCAATTGAGAAGAGTGGGCTGCGATTGAATCCTTATCATTGAATAAAAAACTTAAGATGCCTTTAAAATAATTGCCAAGAATGTTTGAGATGAAGAACAACTTTATTTAAAATTTTCATTCTTATCGAACTTAAAATTATAAACAAAGAATGATCTGATGCATGTGGGCTAAGACCCCAATTTCAGACAACGAAAATTTGTGGAGCCTTCCGAACGACTTTGCCATGAGCGATTATTATGTGTAATATATCGCAGGAATAACATTTAATTAAATAAATGTGTATAAATCTATAAAATGCGTATTACTCTTTGTGACTTTAGACTTTCTTCAAAGTGATCATTCTTTGAATGAAGAAATATACTTGAGACTTTGTACTTTACTTAGGAATTTTAACAACCGAAGCAAACAATTAATCTAAAGCTTTTTCCTCAGTCCAGCAATATTTTCGCTAAGCGCTTGTTTGCTTGAGTGCAAAGTTTTGTGTGTTGAGCATATAAACGAGAATGTTGAGCATATGAATGATTGCTGGTGCACACATGATTGTGAGGACTATAAATAGTTGAGAGAAGCGTTCAGAAAATTAACTTGTATATTTATAGACAATTATGAGCCCTAAATTGGGGCAATTACGAGCACTTTTCGGGCCCTATTGGTGCCCGTACATAAACAAAAGAAACGTGCGACCACCCGCAGGAGTCGCAACCCTTGCACACATTCCCCGTAAAGCCAGCAGCCACTCCGAAGCCAATAATCAAAATGACTAGCAAATATGTTATTTAAGAGTATGGAAAAGACGTTGCCGACCTTCAGGCGACTTTCGACTGGGTACAAAAACGACCAACATACCCAAATATTTCGAAATGTCAACGGGGTCATTAGGCAAACCATTGGCCACCCACACACACACACACATATACATAACTCTATGTATATATACATATATCTATCCACTGACAGCTGGCAATGCTTAATTAAATGCCCCGCAAAAACAAGTTTATTTCACTCTAGCCGTTTAAGCGCCTGTCAAATTAATGTTTAACTCTGGCTTCCTGCTCAACTTGTCTGGCAGGATGAAAATAACTTCTACACTATAATATAGGCAGCTATTTCCAGCTATATTTGCAAGCTGCTGTCGTCCCTTCCTGTGGGATTCTTCATAAAATAGCTGCAGTATAGTTGGTTCCTACTTATTGCTGTTTGTATATGCATATACTTACGTGTGTGTATATTAAACGGAGCTCAGTTTACTTCTTGCTAAACTTTCTGCATCTATTTATGATGACAAAGGCCTTAACAGCTACGTCTGCAATAGTTTGTATAACTAGAGACAATAGACTTAAAGCGACTTGAAACTTTCAATTTCTCTCAAATGCCGTTAAGGGCACTAGTCGACAATGATAAACAGCGAAAATTAGTTGAATATTAGACATCACAAACTAAAAGAATTTATATCCCATATTGATACGTCCATATCAAGCACATGGTATCGCAGATCTTTGTATACCAATAATTTATATAATATTTTAATTTATATAATAAT